CCCTCCTACAAGTCAATCCTCAGTTAATCACACCTTCTCGGGAGATGGGAGACTGCAACGAAGCCAAGATTCAACTTGTCTGCTGGCCTCCTTAGATAGAGAGCTTTGCTAATTGGCTTTTATGTATATGAATATTTCTGTAAAGTGTCCTGAGACAACTTTGTTGTGATTTGGCGCTATATAAACAAACTGAATTGAATTCTCTTTTTCTCCATTCTCAGTCAGTGAGGTTAATAAACTGTTAAAAGATCTTGACCCTAAAAAATCTGCAGGTCCAGATGAACTTCCACCTTATTTCTTAAGGCTGGCTGCTCATATCATCACAGTCCCTGTGACCCACATCTTCACAAAACTCCATCCCAGGCACTTGGAAAACGGCCTTTGTTCTTCCTTTGCTGAAGGGAGGTGACCCCACCTCACTGAACAACTATCGACCAGTCTCTAAACTCTGCATTTTAGCCAAGGTTCTAGAAAAACTGATAAACTCTCAAATCAAAAACTACCTGGACTCATTTAACATCTTACCTCCACATCAATCTGGTTTCAGGAAACAACACAGCACAACCACTGCTTCACTGAAGGTTCTTAATGACGTTGTTGATGCACTGGATGCTAAGGATTATTGTGCTGCACTTTTCTTAGACCTGTCTAAAGCTTTTGACACTGTGGATCATAACATCTTGTGTCATAAACTCTCAGAAATCAGTTTCTCAGAACACCATTGGTTGGTTCTCCAACTACCTCTCAAACTGGAGGCAATGTGTTCAACATAATGGTACTTGCTCCAGTTATTTAACAGTCAACAATGGCGTACCACAAGGCTCAGTCTTAGGACCCACCCTCTTTACAATCTACATTCATAATGTAGGGAAAACATCCCTAATGCATCCATACATTTCTATGCTGACGACACAGTTGTTTATAGTCGAGCTAAAACAGTTGATAAGGTTTTCCAGCTTTTGAAATCTGCATTTAACAACACCCAGACAGATTTGTTCCGCCTCAAACTTGTCCTAAATGCCGACAAAACCAAAGGGATGCTTTTTTCAAATAGGAAGTTTGTCCCAGCAGTTCTTCCTCTGATCTCATTCTCAAATGGTGTCCCCATTGAGTTAGTTGATTCCTATAAATATTTGGATATCTTGGTCGACTCGCATCTCTCTTTTAAGCTCCATGTGGAAAACTTGGTAAAGAAACTGAAAGTTAAACTGGGTTTCTTTTTCAGAAACAGATCATGTCTAACTCTGAATGCTAGGAAACACCTTGTATCTGTGACTTTCCTTCCCTCCATTGATTACGGGGACATTATTTACATGAACGCTCCTACAAGAACCCTGCAGATGTTGGATGCTGTCTATCATGGTGCACTAAGATTCATAACTGGCTGTGATTATCGTACCCACCACTGCACCCTGTACTCACTGGTTAACTGGACATCATTAACTTCACGCAGACTCTCTCACTGGTACATTTTCATCTTTAAATCACTTCTTGGTCTGCTGCCTTCATACATCCCCTCCTACATGTCTCTGCGTGAGTGCAGCTACAGAGTGCGCTCTCAGGACATTATTACCTGCAGTGTTCCCTCAGTGCGAACTAAACTAGGCAAAAGGGCCTTATCCTACTCTGCTCCTGTTTCCTGGAATATCTTGCAAAAAGATTTGAAGCTCTCAACCTTGACCTCTCTAAGAGGCTTTAAGAATCTGTTGGACTCCTGGCAGGGGCCAATGCAGACATGTTCCTGTTTTTAGTTTTCTACATTCGCCTTAGAATCTAGCTGTTTTTTTGTTACTTTTCTTTTCTTTTTACTTTTCTTTTTTAGCCATCCTATTTGTTAAAAAAATAATAATAATAAAATAAATTGTATGACTTTTTATAACTGTTTATTTTTGTCTTTGTTGTCTATTGTTGTCATCATTCTTTGTTGAAATCAGGTCTCTCTTGTAAATGAGTCCTTGAGGCTCAATGGGATTTACCTGTCTAAATAAAGGTTGAATGAATGAAAAAGTACCAAAAGTCATAGCAGGATTGTCCTGAAATAGCTGAACGTTTTGACATGAAATAGCACAAAAACTGTGGAATGAGAAAGATGCTGAAAAACATACGGAAGAAAAATGGATCACAACAGCGTGAATGCCTCATAAACATTCATACAACTAAAGTACAACCCGTTCACACAAACCACAAAATATCCATCCATCCATTATCTAAATATTCTGGAGAAAAATGTGAATCAACTCAGTGAAAAGGTTGTGTTTTGAATTTGGATGCAATGGTACAAGTCTTGGGTGCCAGCTTGTAGTGTGAACACTGACCCAATGCCCTGCAGTTACATAAACATGTTGGCCTTGAAGGAGGAAACAGGAAGCTGGGAGCACCTGCATGACTTAACTCTTTTTATGGTTAACAATGCACTTCATTTCCTAAGGCAGCAGTAGACGAACCCCCTCACCACAGCACATTAAGTTCATAATAGGAGTAAATGCATTAAAGGCAGTCTTGCATATTGATATGTTTATATGAACTACTAAAGCTACTAAAGCAGCTGAAACCAATGAGCTTTAGGTCATGATTAAACTTGATAAGATAAGGTGGTTGTTTTAATAGAACAGGTTGTAATTTAACTAATACAGGACGTTAGAAGAGAATTATCACCGAGTTTGTTTGTTGTTTACGCAACAAAGTTGTAGAAAAGTCAGGTTTAAAACAAGTTAAAGGTTGCTTCATCTTGGTTAAAACACAATAACAGGAACCAAACAAAGACATAAAGGACAATTTTAGTCCACACAAAGCGGGCTGCATATTTACTATAATGTTGTCTACGTTATCCATTATATCTTCTAATGCTCCCACATTTGCTGGGCTCACATAGTGGCTGAAAATTCTGCCATTGGAAACAAACAAACAAAAAAAGATTACTTTGTAAAAGCAAGACATTCAAAGCCCTTCACCATGTGGACCGTCATGACCTAAACAGGTTGGAAACAATGGTTGGAAAAACAAAACACTCTCACAAACAGGAATGACGTAAAGTAATTTGAAGTTCAGGTGCTGCTGTTTATTCAAATTTGGAAGAATAACAGGGTTATGTCTACAAATAGACATAAATAGATGTCAACATATAGAACTGAATGATAAGCTGGACGAGAACAAACACGGCTGTATAAACATTGGTTCATGGTGAAACTTTGCATGGATAAATATAACTAAGACATGCAAATAATACAGTTTTGGTTACAAGTTGTTTTTAAATACACAAGCGAATTAAAAAAATACTTCTACTAGGTTTACTTCTTAAAGTTAGCCAATAATCAATACATTTTTTAATTAACTGCACGGTAGATGTGCTTTTTAATGAACTGATTCAAATAAAATGTACATTACTGTCCTCTGATCATTGTTCTGAGGCTACAAAGTGCAAGAACAGTAAACTGGTATAAAATTGTGTTAAATGTTCTTACTGATTAAGGACTGTAGATTTTGTCATTTTTTCCAAAGAACACTTTAGACAAGCACTTAGTAAGAATATTTTAAATACTAGCATAAAGCGGGAATCCTATAGTGCCAAAGAAACATTAGGATTGATTATCCTGATGCATGCTCGATAATCTAGGTAGAAAAATCCAACAAAGTTAAATCACGTCTGTTGGACAGATTCTTCTTGTTGAAAACAAAAAAGTCCATGCTCAATAATCCAGGTATACAATCCAACAATTTTCAGTCAGGACATCTGGACAGTTTCTTTTTTTTTCCTGAAACGTTTCACCTTCCATCCGGAAGGCTTCATCAGTCAAGAAAACACACAGCACAAAACTGATTCTTCCCCAAACAGCTTACTCTAAAGTGGAACAAACCAGTTATGTTGGTGCTAAGATGGTGTCTTTGGCACGCCCCCTCCTCTGGAGCCGGCCCTCTTCCTCGTCGACAGTCATGTCAAACTGGTGCCAAAGACACCAACTTAGCACCAACATAACTGGTCTGTTCCGCTTTGGAGTAAGCTGTTTGTGGGAAGAATCAGTTTTGTGTTGTGCGTTTCCTTGACTGATGAAGCCTTCCGGATGGAAGGTAAAACATTTCAGCAAAAAAAAAAAAAAAAGAAACTGTCCAGATGACCTGACTGAAAATTGTTCTTGTTGAAACGTTTCATCTTTTATCCATAAGACTGTCAGTCTGAGCCATCAGGTGAAAAAGAGGAACCCAGACCCAGACCAGTCCAGTGGTCATTCCGTATGTTGCGGGAGTTTCAGAGAAACAGACCTTTATTTTCTAAACATAACGTCCCAGTGGCTTTTAAACCCCAAAATACATTACAGCAAAGACTGGTTCATCCCAAAGATCCAGTCCACCAGCACAAACAGAGTAATATTGTGTATGCTGTTCAGTGTCAGGAGGGTGATCAGTCTTACATCAGGAAAACTAAACAACCACTGGCCCAGAGGATGGACCTGCACAGAAGATCAACACCATCAGGCCAGGACTCTGCGGTCTACACTCATCTCCAGGCCAGCAATCACTCTTTCAGGGATGAAGATGTTCACATCCTTGATAGAGAGGAACGATGGTTTGAGAGAGGAGTAAAGGAGGCCATCTTTGTGAAAAGAAATCATCCATCATTAAACAGGGGTGGAGGTCTCCAGGTTCAACTGTCCCCCTCTTACAATGCTGTGATTGCTAGTACCTCTGTGAATAGCAAGTGGCCATCAGGGCACTAACGACCAACTGTTAGGTTGATGGTCCTCCTTTATCATGTGAACAACTAGTTTTGGCTGTCACCAGCAAACTGGTTGATCCACTATGAGAAGGTGCTTTTTATAAGACTGAGTTTGTTGCAGCTCCTCAGACTGAAGAAGTCTTCTGGATAAAAGACGAAATGCTTCAACAAGAAAAATCCACCCAGAGGACCTGACTTAACTTTGTTCGATTAGGATTGATTCATTGCTATAGAAGTATAAAATACATGTTTAGGCATTCACAAGGCGACAGCCACAGGTGAGCCTTACCAGTAGTGCAGTTGTGGAACTGGCAGTCAGGATCAGGGAAACCCGGTCTGGGAGGTGACCCCTGGGTCACAGTCCTCCAGCAGAGGTCAGTCTCTGAAGCAAAAGTCAAATGTGACAAAACATTAAACTTAAGTCTCAACAAAACGCTCCACTGTCAAGAACGGACTGAAAGCTGAAGCATTATTCTTTTATCGTTCTTTAAAGTAACAGTGTATTTCCAAGAATTGCTGGACTCCTACTGCACACCCAAGACTTTCTGTTTACAGCCCCTTACAAAAAACTGTACCATATCAGTTTCCTTTTAAAACTCATAAAATTGCTCATAAATACCCGTACACTGCAGTCAGCCAACAGGGAAGCATGACGTTGCCAGAAAGGCTACAAAAACACCAAGCATGTGGTAAGTTGTTTTTCTCAGCTACAGAATTTACTTCAAGAATCACTGGCTAAATGCAGAGTTTTTTAAGTTATCCAACAAACAGACGTGCATAAGGAGCATGACATTTCCTATTGTGCAATACTTCCTCTGATTCAGGTTGTCCACAAGGCTTCCCTGTATCTATAACATTCATTCACACAGCTGATTAGGAATATTCATAAAAAATACTACAACTAAAAACAGGTCCAAATATTATGAGGTCTCTCAAAGCTTTCAGTTTCGAATTTAACACACTTTCTCCTTTCACAGGTTGTGCAGCTCTAATGTAGAGCAGACGTGCGGTGAGACCCTAACGACGAGCCTTTATCCTCCTCTTCTGCCTGCATACAAATGATCAGCAGCAACAGCAGTGCTGGCCGTGCATGAATGTGACTACACTTCAAATCCTGAAAAATCAAAACCAAATCAACTGTGAGAGCTGAGAGAGGTAGGCATGTAAAAGAAAACTAAACCTGTGGACCTGGATTCAGGTCTGGACTTTGACTTGGCCATTCCAACACCTGGATATGTTTATTTGTGAACCATTCCATTGTAGATTTGGTTTATGTTTTGGATCATTGTCTAGTTGGAAGATAAATCTCCGTCCCAGTCTCAGGTCTCTTGCAGACTCAAACAGGTTTTCTTCCAGAATGGTCCTGTATTTGGCCCCATCCATCTTCCCATCAATTCTGACCATCTTCCCTGTCCCTGCTGATGAAAAGCAGGCCCAAACCATGATGCTGTCACCACCATGTTTGACAGTGGGGATGGTGTGTTCACGGTGATGAGCTGTGTTGCTTTTACGCCAAACATATCGTTTTGCATTGTGGCCAAACGGTTCAATTTTGGTTTCATCTGACCAGAGCACCTTCTTCCACATGTTTGGTGTCTCCCAGGTGCTTGTGGCAAACTTTAAACACTTTTTATGGATATCTTTGAGAAATGGCTTTCTTCTTGCCACTCTTCCATAAAGGCCAGATTTGTGCAGTGTACGACTGATTGTTGTCCTATGGACAGACTCTCCCACCTCAGCTGTAGATCTCTGCAGTTCATCCAGAGTGATCATGGACCTCTTGGCTGCATCTCTGATCAGTCTTCTCCTTGTTCCAGATGAAAGTTTAGAGGGACGGCCGGGTCTTGGTAGATTTGCAGTGGTCTGATACTTCCATTTCAATATGATTGCTTGCACAGTGCTCCTTGGGATGTTTAAAGCTTGGGAAATCTTTTTGTATCCAAATCCGGCTTTAAACTTCTCCACAACAGTATCTCGGACCTGCCTGGTGTGTTCCTTGGTCTTCATGATGCTCTCTGCACTTTGAACAGAACCCTGAGACTATCACAGAGCAGGTGCATTTATACGGAGACTTGATTACACACAGGTGGATTCTATTTATCATCATCA